CTGCTGTGTTCCTCCAGCTCCACACTGTGTTATATTATGGAAATAGAGATTATGGCTCGGAGAGAGGTTTTACTGTGCACTTGAGAACAATACTAGTCTCACCATATTCAACGGTCCACAAATTATTCTGTTTGCTTTTACAGCCAATCTGTAAAATAACGGGACACATCGCTGGAGTGTGTCCCCGAACCTACGATCCAGTCTGTGGAACTAATGGGATTACATACAGCAACGAATGTATTCTCTGTGATGCAAGACGGTACAACCACACTCTTAATGTCCTTCTAGAAAAATAGAAACTTGGTTTCCTCAAATGTTTTGGGTTTTGCAAACATGTAACATTCTTATCAGTGCAAACAACCTGGAGAATATACTGTGAAATTATTTATTTCTTCTGATATTATTCTCAATATGTCACGCAAGGTGCCTGTATGCTCGGGAATGTTTACTGAATCAGGTAGCTTGTACATTCCTAGAAAAGCCTGTTAGAATATCTATACTTAATTCTTTTTAAATGTGATAACTAGCACTTGTAATAATTGAATTGAACAGCTGTGTGAGTTGCACTTTTTGTGGAACTCAGTTGTTAATAGAAGTAGAAATAATCTATTAAAGAGGATAGGTCAGATGTTCAAAAATCTCTGAATCTGAAAGTAGCAGCTTCAAAGACCCATTTAGTTGTATAATCTGGTCTAGCACTTCAATGTAGAAATGGTGGGTACTAACAGCAGGGTAATCAAATGTATTTTCCTTTTTCTTTTCCTTATTATGCCAGGCGCTTAACAATTTAATAAGTCATATTTTTACCAATGCCCATCCACCACGTTTCCATTGTATTCCGAAGGCATTCCTTATAATGAATATTGAAAGGTAAAGCAACAACAACTTTACTGATCTGGTCATAGTAGGCTATTCCTTATAGGTCCATTACTGCAATTTGAAATTGTACAGGGGATGGAATGGATAGGGGTTTGAGTTGGTGATGGAAACTGAAGGCAGTGGTTTAAAGCTCCCAAATATTTAATTGAAGGAAATCTCTGCTCATAAAATACTGGATGTCATAAAAACGGTGTAACAAATCAAAGACGGTGTCAGGGGTGGGGTGTTTTAGAGAGATAGCGATGAGGTACTCCTGGGTTTAGTCTCCACAAATAGAATGCAATGTAATTTTGGATGAGATGTCGAAGAGCAGCTTGTAGATAAGAAATAGAAGAGGATCAAACTCCTTGAAGACCAAGAGATGGAAATGTAGGGAAATGTGGTGGGAAACTATGCAGCACGTCCTGTGGTTACTGCTGGATGGAATTAGGTGAGAACTGTCCCAGCCAGGCGGAGAAGGAGGAAGAGACAATGGAGGAAGCTAGAATGGTCCAATGATATGAAAAGCTGTAGAAGCTTGAGAAAGATAAGCAGGCATTGGTTTACCATTGCAGTCACAGAGGCTGTCATTTGTGATCTGAATAAAGTCCGTTTTAGTTCAGAGCCAAGGGCAGAAAACTGATTTAAGACTTCTCAATACAGAATGGCTGAAATGTTTTTGCAGACAGACATGGGAACTGCTAACATGTTCAATAACTTTGGAGAGAAAGGGGGAAATGAGTGAGTGTTTTACAATGACAGGTGGGTTGAGAACATTTTTATTTCAGAAGGTGTGTTGACAGTAGATTTGAAGGGAAGGATAGAGAGAGTGCAGAGGGAATCATCTCAATCAGACAGTCCAGGTTAGGAAGTGAATGATAAACAAGTAGTGGGGAAAACTCCTTTAGGAGAAACTTGCTGTTTTGAAGAGGCAAGTTAATTTGCATATAGCACCTTCAATGTGATATTCTAAGGTGTTTCATAATCAATTAGTTACTTTTAATGCGCTGTCCCTAACATTATATCAGTAAATTCAATAGCCCAATTGTCATAGAATTCCCAAAAGTGCAGATAGAGGCCGTGTGACCCGTTGAGTCTGCACCCACCCTCTGAAGAGCATCCTACCCAGATCCATCGCACCTATTCTCATACCCCATGTTTACCATGGCTAATCCACCTGGCTCACACATTCCTGGATACTATCGGGAAATTTAGCATGACCGATCCATCTAATCCTACTCACCTACGGACTGTGGGAGGAACCTGGAGCACCCAGCGGAAACCCTTGTGGAGAACGTGCAAACTCCATGCAGACACCTGAGGTTAGAATCGAAGCTAGGTCCCTGACGCTGTGAGGCAGCAGTGTTAACCACTGAGCCACCGTGCCATCTCTGTACAAACTTCACCAAACAGCATTTAAAGGAGAACTGTTCTGAGGATGTAGGCAAGGCTACGTTGACCATCCCAAATTGCCCCAAGAAGGTGGCTGTGGACCCGCTTCTTGAGTGATCACTTACAACAGTTTATTAATACAGTGTAATGTACTATCTAGAACACAGAATTAGCCCATTCAGACTAACACATCCATGTTGATGTTCCTGTTTCACACAAACCCCGTCACACTGTGTTTCACCTTACCCTATCAACAACTGGTATGGAGAAAAATGGGCAATAGCAAATCAGAACTCCATTGTATACATCTTACCTGAAAGAAAATGAAAAGAAATTCCAGGAAGTTCTGAAATTAGAACCATTTCCTACAGTCCTTTCTTTATCTGAGCAATAAACGTTAAAATAACCCCCTTTGCTTTCTATAACTATTACAGCAGATTAAAATAGGCAAGACCTGCAGGACTGCTCCAAAATTGAGCAGCCAATCTGTAGTCTAACATCTGCATTGGAAAAAAAGACTTCATTTTAGACTTTGAGTTTACTGATGCTCTGCTGCTATTCCAGGAAAACTGGGAGTAACATCCGGATCCAATGGTATGGAATTTGTGGAACTAATAATGAGGATAATTGAAGGCTTCCAGCAAACCAGGATTTCTGTGACTAAATTTGACTTTGTTAAAGAATAATCATTCAGCCTTGATGTACAATTAATTAATCAATTTTAATGTAGACACTGTTGGTGTTAAAATTGATAAACCACAAATCACATACACAACATCATTAAAGCATTTTGGTTTGTAACCAATAAGTCAGTTTTTGTTGCTATTATGTTGACAATATTGGTAATAAGCAATTTGTTAAACACAAACCCACTGAATGGACACTTTGTGAACTTTATTGACTGAACATACTGTTAACGTTTCATGAGATTCTCAGAAATAATTGGTCGGGAAGGTCATTCTTCTCTCCTTCTGCATGTCCCTCCCATATCCCATTTCGACACTGAATTGTTCCTTAAACTAATCTATTCAGAAATACATTGTACAAGGTTTTCACTCTTTGTATGAACTTTGGGTGGTCATTAAATTTTCATTTTGCTATCAATGTCTACGTGTCCTGTTTTAACTACTTGAAGAATAATTCTAGAAGTATCTTTTAAAGTTTCAACTTTCCTCAAAAGTATCATCTTTGCCTCTGAGTTGGAATGTTGTAGCTGCAAGTCCCTCCGGAAACATAAAGATGTAATCAATGCAGTACTGTTTGAGTGCATCGTCAGAGGGGCTGTGTTTTGGAATGAGCTGCTACCTTGCTCCTCAGAGGTTAATTTCTACAAATGTCACTGATTTTATTGGGTTTTTGAGCCCAATTTATTGATGTAAATTAGAAACAGAAATGGTCCCAACATTGATATCTGGGCTCTTTGCTCAGTATTTCACTTCACCCCAAAATAATCCATCCAACTAGTAACTATTGGTTACCCTTTAGAGAATTGCTTACACACTGGAATAAATAATCTGCAATCACCACAACTCTAGGTTTACCTATTAGCTTTTCATGTGGCACTTACACAAATACATTTTGGAAGTCCAAGTAAATCATTTAACAGCACTTATAGAGTACAGTTGAGATGGCACTTGCTGGAAGAACTCCAAGAGGTTGGTTAGAAGAATTTTTCCCTCCTGAACCCAAAGTGAATGATGTTAACCAATTATTTTTGGGTCTCATGTTTACACTTTACAATTATTTCTAATCATTTGCATGGAATCAAAATGAAAGTTGTAGCAATTCATGAGAATACATTTGGTTGCTGCATCATTACAAACGAAACCAGATGTTAAATGTCTCCCCCTTGATTCTTTTAAGTGAGATAACTAGGTAATAAGCTTAACCACAAAATTAACTGATCAGAAAGAAACTGGCAAAGTCAAATTCTAATTCTAGTTCTAATTATGATGCCACCACCTTTTGAATATGGAAATCAGATAAGCCTGTTTCCAGGCTATTGCTATTGCCCAGTGTCAAATGATTCCCTGGTAATGAATATCAATGTTTCACAACTCTTCTTACAAATCGCTTTCAGTTCTTGAAGATAATTGTCAATTGTCCCTGGGTAAATATTTCTTTTGAGCTCTTTTGTCTGTCTGGAAATTCCATCTCCGTATTTGGAAGCCCTAATTTTGGTTTGTTAACTGTGTACTGGGAGGACAGCTGCAAATGGAGTCTGAGAGTTATTTTATATTACTTATTAATACTCATGTTTGTACTCAATGCATTCAAATTCTGTTTACTCAAGAACATTTAAAAAAATTGGAGCAGGAGTAAGTCTTCCATTGATGATTTGATATCATCTGAACTCCACGTTCCTACCTGTCTCATAACCTTGACTGCTTGTCAGTCAAAAATCTGTCTAACTCAGTCTTGAATGTATGCGATTACCTAGCTTCATTACTCACTGGATGAAAGCATTCCAAACAGTACTTTTGGAGTCATACCTGGCACAAATGAAGATGGTTGTGGTTGTTGGAGGTCAGTCATCTCAGCTGCAAGACATCTCTGCAGGAGTTCCTCATGGCCCAACCATCCCCAGCTGCTTCATCAGTGACCTTCCCTCCACCATTAGGTCACAAGGGGGTGTTCACTGATGATTGCACAATGTTCAGCACTATTCACAACAGTTCATGTTCAAATGCAATAAGAACTGGACAATATCCAGGCTTGGATTAATAGGTGATGAGCATCTCCAACAATTGAAAATCTAACCATTACCCTTAACATTCAGTGATGTTACCATCACAGGATCCTCCACTATCAACATCATCCATTGACCAGAACCTGAACTGGACTAGCCATATAAATACAATGGCTACAAGAATAGAAGCAAGGAATCCTGCATTGAATATCTCCTTATACCGTAAAACCTGTCCAGCCTACAAGCTGCACATCAGGAATGTGATGGAATCTGCCCATTTGTCTGGATGAGGTAAGTGCACGTCCAACAGCACTAAGGTAGCTTGATAACAACCAGAACAATGCAGCCAACTGGATTGGCACCACATCCACAACTATTTACCTCCTCCTCCACCACTGATGCACAGAAACAGCAGTGTGTGCCATCTATGTGATGCATTGAAAAAATTCACCAAAGCTCATTTGACAGTACCTTCCAAATTAGCAACCACTACCATTGAGGACAAGGACAACAGATACATGGTAACTTCCTCCCAAAAGGCATTGTGGGTCTATCTCCACCAAAAGGACTGCCGTAGTTCAAGAAGGCAGCTCACTGCCAGGTTCCCAAGGACAACTAGGGATGGGCAATAAATGCTGGCCCATCCAGCCACACCCAGATCCCCTGAATGGATGGACAACTAATGAGTCTCTGAGAGAAGGAATTCCTCCTTATCTCCAACTCAAAAGGGAGATCTCTTATTTTAAAATTATGCAAGCTAGTTCTAGATTCAACTATAAAAATAAACATCCTCTCAGCATTGACCCTGTGAAGACCCCTAAGAATCCGATATGTTTCATTAAGGTTCATTCCTATAAACTCCAATTCATTGATGTCCTGGGAGATTTCCTCCTTAGTGGCAGAAATTAAGCATTCTCACAAGCTAATTTTTATCCCTCTGCCTTAACTTCCTATAGATGGTCAAGAGATGTTAGCTTTCTGTTATTCAATAGGCATTGCTGCTCATATAGGCATTGCTTCATCTATGCTGTGGAAACTCTTATACTTTTATTAGTTTACACAGTCATTGAACATAACCTAAACTTTAGTCCAGTACCAAGGGCCAGTTGCAGTATGAAAGGCACTATCTATCAGGACAGTTCAGGCAGATATCAAAGAACTCCCAGCATTCTTTAGAATAGAACTGGAAGTTCTGCCAGTGTCCTAGGCAACATTTCATCACCAAAACACAGATCAAACAGTCATTCAGCTCATTTGTTATTTGTATGGCCTTGGTGCATAGCACAAGCTGTCGTTTATCATATATGAAACAACATTGGATCTTTCTGAAAGATGTGCTAAGGAATTACTTAAATACAAATCTAGTCATTCTTTTGTTCTTCTCAAGGATCAGAAACAGGCATTCCTTTGAATGTTTGCTCAAAAAACATTTGAAGCAGGAAAAATCTACTGAATAATTAGAGGCTCAAATATGTGCATATATTTTTTAAATAATGCAAAACCTTTCTCCCACTAATGATTTGAAGAATTTTCATGGAACTAATTTTTGCTTGAACAGGTTCATTGCTAAACAGAACAATGTTCAGTATTATTTGAGGTGTATAAGATTATGAGGGGCATGGACAGGGTGAGTAGGGGGCAGCTGTGCCCTTTGGTTGAGCAGTCAGTCAGGAGGGGATATAGTTTTAGTATAAGTGACAGGACTTTCAGAGGAGATTTGAGAAAAAAACTCAGAGGGTGATGGAATGAGCTGCCAGAGGAAGTGGTAGAGATGAGTACAATTACAACATTTAAAAGACATTTGGACAAGTATATAGATAAGAAAGGTTTAGAAGGATATGGGCCAAATGCAGGCAAACGTAAATAGTTCAGTTTAGGAAACCTGGTTAGCATGGACGAGTTGGGCTGAAGGATTTATTTCAGTGCTGTATGACTCCATGACTGTAAGGCAGTGGGAATCTGGAATATACTGCCTGGGAAGCTAATGGAAGCTAGGAACCTTACCACCTTTAAAAATATTTGGATGTGCACTTAGTGTCATAAAGCTTGTAGAATATGTCATTATATTGCTTTATGTACCTTTATCATTTTATTTCAAAATTCCTCTTTGCGTTTCCAGTTGTTTTCCTGATTTCACTCCTTGTCCGTATATTCTTTCTGTTATTCTGTTAGCTGCTGCTCCTGTCTTTATGTCTCTTTCATTACTCCTAAATTGGTGGAATTTGAATTCAATAAAACATCTGGAATTAAGAATCTAATGATGACCATGAATCCATTGTCGATTGTCAGGATAAACCCATCTGGTTCACTAGTGTCCTTTAGGGAAGGAAACTGTCATCTTTACCTGGTCTGGCCTACATGTGACTCCAGATCCACAGCAATGTGGTTGACTCTGAACTGCCCTCTGGGCAATTAGGGATGGGCAATAAATGCTGTCTAGCCGGTGACACCCTCATCCCGTGAATGAATAAAACAAATTTCCATTTTGTCTTTCTTCACACATTTTGTCAGTATTTTGTTTGTCTTTGTTTTGTAATAGAATATATTTTCCCTGATTTCCGTTGAATATTAAAATATTTTCCATAACTGTTCTGTATCATTGCTTGTGATTATTGTTGGTAATTTTATTTTTCCAAGTTCTATTTTCAGCCCCTCAAAATCGGATTCTCTCCAATCCATTCCCCTGGCTTTTATCATGTTGACATCCTTCAAAAGTAGTCTTAACTATGTTTAACAATCATCATTCGCTAGAAATCCTCAAGATACAAGTCATTAAATTAAATATGATCAGAATGTTGCCAGAAGAATTAAAATAATTTTGGCAATAGTCCTTCATGTTTTGAGGCACTAAACACAAACTAATGCTAATGTTAGAAATCTGAAATAAAGTTAGAAAATCCTGGAAAGGCCCAAAAAAGGCAGGCAATTTGTGCAGAGAAAAGATCATCAACCTGAAACATTATAGAATCCCTACAGTACAGATAGAGGTCATTTGGCTCAGTGAGTCTGCACCGACCCTCCAAAGAGCTTCCCACCCAGAACTGTCCCCCATCCTATCCCCATAATCCTGCATTTACAATGGCCAATCCAACTAACCTGCTCATCTATAGACTGTGGGAAGAAAGCGGAGCACCCGGTGGAAAACCACATAGACACGGGGAGAATGTTCAAACTTCACGCAGACAGTCACCCGAGACTGGAATCAAACCTGGGTCCCTGTCACTGTGAGGCAGCAGTGCTAACCACTCTCCCTTTCTCTCTTCACAGATACCGTCGGACCTGCTTAGTGTTTCCAGCAATATGTAATTTTTGCTACTTATATTGCCATGATGAGGTACAACTTAGAAGGACAATTTCAGCAGGGTTGCACTATTGGAAGAGAGTATGAGGAAGGGCTATAGTAGTGACACCAGAG